AGACAGACAGTGAGACTTCTCTAGGAAAAAGACTGTAGTGTATTCTTGATTCAGTTGGTCTTTTGACTGAAGACCTACACTAGCACTTATGATAAGTGTTGAACAGGACTGCAGAAGGATAATATTATGAGACTCATAGATCGTCGTTGTAATCTAGACCTTTGGTGATTGATGCGTTCTCTTAAGCTATAAGATAATATAAAATAGGCATATATATTCACTTCTTGTTTATTTGATTTACCAAGTGATTCCTATTTTATTATGATGACATACGAGGTATTTTGGTAAATAAGAATGATTATATGATGTGTTATTATAAATTAGTTATGGTCACTATGTTCCAGTACGGTGGATTGATGACGTCCCCGAAATGAGCTCAAGAATGTACATTATGTTAAAACCCTGCAGGTAGACGATTGTCTAACATAATGGTTAAGGATCTGAGTGGTACTAATTTCGAAAATGAATAAGAAGTTAGTTAATTATTTTGTCAGTAATTTAATTAATCAACGAACGTTATATCTTAAACATAGGCAGGTAAATCGATCAATCAGATTAATATAATTAATCATGGAGATTCAAATTTATTGAAAAATTAGGAGCTAAATGGAGAGAGCAATAATATTACTCTAGTGGGTTGTTTTATTATTTAATTCCATTTAATAAGGAACTAATTTTATTCCATATTTATTATTCCATTAGGAACGGGAATATTCCTACTGGAATCTTGTCTAATGTTAGCAGACTTGAGAGTCTTCTAGAAGGTGATGAGTAGTAGGAGAGTTCTATCCTAGATTGAATTAGTAGATGGAATGGCTTAGGATTCCTTGGCCTAATGGGATAATCCTATATTTAGCACCTCCTTAAGGTCCCTAATGGAGCCTATAAATACACCATGTCCCAAACTCTTCTATGTTGTTGTCTTGGCCGATTTTTCTCCTACACACACGTGAAAAATAACATCGTTCGAGAGTTAGGGAGATTCGATTAATCGCTCCACCAAGATTAATCGAAGTAGGTGTTTAGGTAATCCGTTAGAAGGATTTTTGGTACAATTTAGTCAAGCCTTTTATAAATATATTTCCGGTCATCCCCTCCAGCCGTCCGCCACCGAAAATCGTCGCCGCCGCCTTCGCCACCGAAAGCCAGCTGAGTCCAGCTGATTGCAACCATGAGCGATCGCCCGCAGTCGCGCCTAGCCAGACCCGGTCCCAGTCCCAGCAGCGACACCCAGCGACCGCCCGCGAGCCCCAGCGACACATCATCGTCTCGCTGGAGTGCATCATATTCCTCTTCGGTCTCACACATGTGCATCGGAATGCATGTTTGGGCACCTGCCATAAGATGGGAATTGTCAACTTCCAACTCGAAAGAGTCGAGACGTGCTGTTATATTTTCCATTCGAGCGCTCAGTCGAGCACACACGAGCTCAATCTCTTCTTTTCGGCTTTTTTAGGCCATCATACGATCGAGGATGAGATCAAGTTTGGCGTTGTATCTCGAAGAATCATCCTCAAGCTCATCGAAAGTTTCGGGCGTCAGATGTGGGTCGACAACCATGGGCTCATTGGCTCGTGACTCGATAGAGTCGATGCGCTTCGCAAGACTCTCTAAATGCTTGCTCAAACGGGCACATCTGAGCTCAATCTCCGCTTTTCAGCTTGCTTGGGCCATCATATGATCGAGGATGAGATCAAGCTTAGTGTTGTATGCGTCCTCTTCTTCTCGAGATTCTATAAAAGCAAGAATTCGTTCGAGCTTCTCATTATGCTCTGAGTATTTCTCCAAAAATTCATAGGTCTACTCAACTGGTGCCAAATTCCATTGATGCTCATAAGGAAATGAACACGCTTGGCCATATTCCCAAGAACCGTAGCTCAGCCCATTATTCCAAGATCGAGCGTACGAGAATGCGACTGGGTTGCATGAGTTCATTAGGCTCTTCGGTCAAATATCTGCACACATGAACCAAAACAACCACGCGTAGCCACGGAAAAGAAGACAAAAAGAAAACAAAACAAAAAGAGAAACAAAGATGCAGAGAAAAAAAAACAAACACGAAAAACAAACAAAAATAAAGAGAAACACAGATAATAAACTCAATACCAAACTAAATATTCTACATGCCTCCCCCGGCAACAGCGCCAATTTTGTTGTAGCAAATTATTTTTATTTTTACCGAGTACCAAATCAAAAGATTCGTTCTCCGGGTCGATCTCTCGAGGAAGACGGTTCGAAATTTAGCATTGGTATTAAACACACACGAAAAGAAAAAAAATCATAAACACTCTATTCAAGGATGATTTGGAGAAATATCTAAAACTAATTAGAACTAGGAAAGCTAATAATGAAATAACAAATAAATTTCTAGAGAAATAGAATAAGTTCTATGGGTCGGAAAATCTCATCAAGTCTCAAACTATGTTGAATGATTATTGATTCGGTTACGAGATTTAACAAGCCTACACGTCTAGAGGGCTATGCTCAATAACTATTCGTAACAAGAGAACATAAAAGATAAACTCATCCGAACAAGCAACACATAGACAATACGTTTCCGAACATGTCTACTCTATACGAACCTAAATCGCCCGACATCTTCTCTATCGGTTCTAAATGTCGATTAATTAGGTTAGAATGGTGATCAATCAACTAACCCTATAATTCACACAACTCGCATAGATTGAACAAAACACATTCTCCACAATTCAAAACAAGAATCAAAAACCTTAACCCTAGGTGAATGAATTACCTCATGCTTAGATTCAATCTCATGTTAACCAGAATTAAAAACATAAAACCAATCAACTATAATAGAATAGAATTGAAAAACTTACAATAGGATTAAGACTTGCAAGATTTCAATCCACATATCTTTGTGTCCAACAATCCAAGCATGAGAGAAAAAAAAAAGCAGAGAAAATTATCCTCACCATATTCAGTTTTTGGAAAGAAAAATTGAAAGGAACGATATTGGGGTTGTTCCCACGAGTCTAAGGATCGTTTTGATATATAGGCTTTGTTTGGTAAATTGCTTTTTGTATAGCTTTTAGCTGTTTGAAGTCATTTAGCTGTTTGACTATTTAAAACAACTAAAAAAATTGTTTGGTAAACTCAGCTTGTTTAAATGGCTTTTTGAGGGAAAAAGTTGATATTAGAAACGCTGCAAAGAGCAGCGTTTGAAGTTAGCTTATATGCAATTATTTATATATATGTTGTACAATTATTCAGTCAAAATGGGAATTAAGATGGGTTCGCGCAGAAGAAAAAATAAAATAAAAAGAGAAATAATAGAAGACGAATGATGGTGCTGGAGCAGGATTAAGTTGAACAAATTGATTGTGCTCCCATTACTTTACTCTTTTTTTTTTTTGATATTTTTTTTAAATAATGAACAAACATTGTATAGAAATTGTAACTCTATAAAATATTCATTGTTGTTTAATAACTATTTTTACTATTTATTAATAATATGCATAAATTGTAGTTTGTAAAATAATTATAATTGCTAAAAATATCAAAATAAATAAACATAATTATGAGTAATTTTATATAATTTTATACATAAAAAATTATCAAAATGCTAATTTACTAAACACTTTTTGTAATTATCCGCTAATATACAAACTAGTCAAAACAGCTAATCTAATTCGCTGGGCAAAACAACTAATAGAATCCGCTAACAGCTAACCGCTAATAGCTGATTACCAAACAAGGCCATAGTGCGCGAAAAACGGAGCTAAAACGATTAAAAACGAGCAAAAAGTAATAACAAGGGCGAACAAGTCGCGACTCGCGAGTTGACTCGCGAGCCGCGACTCTGACGGGTCGTGGGGTCGCTGGCGTCGATCGGAGGCTCTGTTAAAGTTGCGACTTTGGAGTCAGGAGTCGCGATTTTACGCTTGCGAGTCGCGACTTTGGCTGGCTGCACTGCATAACTTTATGTTTTGGCTTCGTTTGAGCTCGTCCGAACTCGGAATTTAGTTCCGTTTTTCCTACACGTAGCTAGTGAACCCTTCTATCCAATTATGCTCTCAAAACCAATTTTTTCTATTGATAAAATTCGCCCGAATCTCCCGCCCTACACACCAAAGACGACAAAACAATAAAGAGCCTGGAAACACAAACGAAAAACACCTAAAGACTCAAAATGAAGGAAAATATATAATAAAACATGAAACGAACTAAAAACGTAAGAAAAACCTAAAACGGGGGAAAAAGAAGAGCAAAACGAGCAAGAAAAATGTAACAAAAATCGGACAAACACCCAACATTTGCCCAGACTGTCCAAGCTCGCCCAAGTCCAGCCCACTGTCCAATTCTAAAATTACAAGGACTAAGTTCATGTACCCATGCCCGTGCCCGAACCGAGCCGAGCCTGTCGCTGGCAGGGGTGCAACGGTGTGGCCAAACCAAAGATCAACACTTGGAGCATAGTTTTGTTGTTTTTGTTGTTATCATCTCTTTATTTCAATTACGATACCAATGTGGGTAGGATTTTTGACTCTTCAAATTTTACAACCAACGCTATAATATTCATTAATGGCTAACATTAATCATTATCACTCACTTAAAATAAATCTTAAGAAAATAAATATATTATGAGTATTTACATGTGCACAGATTCTTTTTACACAATCTAATTCAACACAAATTAAATATTTAAACATAAAAAAGTTTTGTCAAACTAAAATTTATTTAATTGTTTTTCTAACAGAAATATGTACTACATAGTTAATAACATAATGATAAAACATTAAATGATCTTGTACATTATAATAACTTCGCGAGGACTTTGAAATTAGTCATAAGATTTAATGACGCCAGCTTGCGCATGAAAAACATTACTTATTTATTAAAAACAAGTATTGTTAAGAAAAAAAAAAAGATAAAGATAAAGAAAAAGACCCCCAATGACCCTCAGCACCCCTATAAATCCAACACCATTCTCATCTCCAAAGTCCAAAGCAAATATTAATTCTCGAATATACAAATATAAAATGACGAGAGGGAGTACCAAAACTACTGGTGTTGGCGTTGTCGCCTTGTGGCTGGCCGTGGCTCTTTTGCTGGTTGTCCTAGTGCATGAGACCGCGGCTGTAGAGTGCAACGACCCGAGCCAGCTCAGCAGCCCGTGCATGGGGAGCATATTTGGAAGTCAAACCCCGTCAACCGAGTGTTGCGAGAAGCTGAGAGAGCAAGAACCTTGCTACTGTACATACCTCAAAACCCCTTTCTACAGTACCTTTATTCGCTCTGCTTGCGTACAGAGGCTTGCAGCAACTTGTAATATCACAATACCCACCAACTGCTCATAAGCTCAATTCGTGTCCGTTGACGTGCCCAAATAATATTTAACTGTCCTTTCCTCATATATATTATGCTTTATGTGCAATGCTTACGTTGCATCTCTTGCTTACGTATCCATCTATTAATTACTACAAAATAAATAATTTTATGTAACTTTAATAAAGTATTACTTAATCGTAAAGATGTGTTACTATAGATCATAAGTAACATTTTTACGAGTGCTACTGTTGCCCTTGTTACCTTTTATTTTATCTAATAACTTTTGTAGCGTTAAACAAGACTTATTATAGTACATTAAATCATATATTGTAGCACTAACTAGTATCATTTTCTAGGTGTTGCGTTTACCTTTAAAAGTAAAACATATTATGCAATACTAGTACAAACCCTGTAACACCCCGCTTATCAGAGTAAATTTTTCGCAACTTATTTCGAAAATACTTATAAATTTTTCGTAACCTTCTTAACTCGGGATGCTACTAACTTATCTACTTTAAAAATCTCTTTACTTAAACTTCATCTAACAACTAAGTTAAACATAAATAAAACAGATTTTAAACATTGAACAAATATAAAAACTTAACAGTTCATACAATCAACTTGATAAATCAACCTTTAAAATCACACTTAAAATCACACTTGTTCAAATCTTAAAGAAACGTAGCGGAAATCTTACAAGCGTGGTTTACAAACCGAAACCTTATTGAAAATTCTCAATAGAAACTTATTCACATCCACGACCACCACAACTCCTCACACCTGCACACCGTCTTTATTTCCTAAAAAAATGATAATAGTGGGGCGTGAGTACTAATCAATTGTACTCCGTAAAAACCCATACTAAAGTAAAAATCAATAATAATATCAATATCATGATCTTTGGTATGTATCTAAGCTTAATCTTTCGGTATCTAACCGATACTTTAACTTAAACTTTGCAACTACCGGTAACTTGGGCCGGTTCTCACGTGATCACATTCTGGGGGTCGCCTCCCACAGAACCTGTAACACCCCACCTTACTGTAAAATCAGAGTTGCGCAATAATTCGCAAAGTCTT